TGGCACAGAGTTCCCCACGTCGTATTGATACGAGAGTAAAACTACTAAAACACGACGTACGGATAGGGTTAAGCGGTGGCACAGAGTTCCCCACGTCGTATTGATACGATAGTAAAACACGGCGTACGGATATGGTTAAGTGGTGGCACAGAGTTCCTTCCCCATGTCGTAGGGATACGATACATGTAGTAAAACACGACGTACAGATAGGGTTTAATCAAGGTTGGGCTCCGTTTGCTTCTGGGAAAGAAACAAAGCCCCGATGGTACGCCTGTACTTTGAACTCATTTTGATGTAGAGCAGAATGTTAACAGAGCCGTTGACGCTTTGCAGGTTCTGGGTGAAAGCCATACAGACGAGGTATAAGTTGTTGTAAGCCTTCCCCATGTAGAACTTGGGCACGAACTCCATGGAGAGGAGCAAGGAGCAAAGTGGGAAGTAACAGAGGAGGAAAACTGCGGCCACCAGCAAGATCATTTTGGCCACTTGGACGTCCTTGTTTGGTGTCGCTGTCTTGCTTCCTGGGCGTGTTTGGGACGTGCTTCTATTTTTAGAACCCTTCCACTTCTGGCGCCGCTGAATCAGTGCGTGGACCAGGATGGCTGAGAAGATGAAGACGCTGAGAAAAGACCCTGTCGTCACTGCAAAACCTGAGACCAGAAAGACGGGTTTCCAGGCATCTTCGTAGTCGTTGAGAACTATTCCGATGAGAGTCTTGTTCGTCCGGGGGTCCGAGATAGGACCCAGGTCGGTGAAGACAAAAATTGGAAGCATGGTCAGTAGCAGAAGAAAGAATATAGCAGCAAGGCTAATGGCCGTCCGTTTCGGGGTGAGAATTCTGCGTACGTGTAGGGGTGCTTTGATGCACAGACAGCGCTCCATTGTCACGAAAGTTGTGATCATGCCGGATATCCTGTTGAGAAGGATAATACAATTCATAAATAATACACGTGCACACACACAGACACACTCACACATAGATGCAAATGCACATACAAGATAAAAATAGGACTTTTAGCGTTGTCTCTACCCTCCCTCTACCCTCCCTCTACCCTCCCTCTACCCTCCCTCTGCCCTCCCTCTGCCCTCCCTCTTCCCAGGGAGTTTCCACAACAACCGTACGTGGCCATCTCCAGTACAGAAGACGCAGAGAGGAAAATCACTGACCTGAATCTGTTCAAGATAGGAGATGCACTACGACAGGTTCTGGGATACATTCGCACAAATACACAGAGGCTGTCCGGTGGTGCACCCTATATCCCCCTACCCCTCCCCAGCCCCCTCCGTCT